ACCATAGACCCTCCAGTCTATGAGATAACTAACGCCCAGTGAACGCTTATCACGGGTTCGGGTTATCATTAAGCTAAATTGACCCAGCCTAACCTAACCTTGGACCCAACCCATAAAAACATATTTGAACAAATAATATACTGTAAAATGACTAATTTTCACTGGGTTTAAATTTCACTGATTTACCATTTCAGGCATATTCAGTGGGTTTTAAATTCACGGTTTTATCATTTAGATAATGTGTTCTATGCTAAATTATACATATTCACTGGGTTTTAATTTAGCGCATTTTCCAGTCAGTGAAATAAGCTAAATTAAAACCCAGTGAATAATTAACCCTTTTACAGTACCTATCTTTCAGTGGTCCACTTCTCAACCCCATTTTGGTGCAACGTCCACTCGACAATTCTATACCCCTACAAGATTTAACTGGATGCAGGAACATGGCCGATACTTTGCCCACTGCGACCATCTCCCCATGTCGAGCCTTTCTTCTTGATCTATACCATAATATACTACCACCGACAGCAGCTACAGCGAGCCCTCCCACTATTAATTGCTTACTGGATAACGACGACATTTCGAGTAACATTGCTAAACGTGACTCGGAGCGAACTTTGAGATGAGTGAACTCTGTGAATGAAGCTAGCAGACAATAGTGGTGATACCAAACTAGCAGACACTAATGCGCAAAGCCTATTAATATATAGTTATGATTTTAATGTTTAATTTTAATTCTTGGCAGTAGTAGTAGTATTGTACTGTAATGTACAAGTATTTTATGATTCTTTTTGTGTTTGTTTGTAATATTATTTAGCTTTATTTAGCATTCTGGGATATAGTCAATTTCAAATGTATTTTGTTTAATTAGTTTAACTTTACTGTATTTTATTTGATCTGGATACGGCCATAGAACAACTCACTGTATATTATTATTATAACAAGTCACTTCGCGATGAGCATCTTTTGCGGTCAGTAATATATATTTAAAAACATTTTTGTTTACTATTGGCGATCCGCTCCACTAGGATTGCCCTTAAAATCAATTTTGTGTGTCTCTGTGTGTGATTTCCAGTGTTTTCACGTAATAATTCTTCTGTGATTTTTTTGGCTTGGCATATTCCCCTCAAACTTGGTAGGCAGATCACAGATCATCACACTATCATCCTAGTTATTAGGTAAAATCTTAAAAAAAAAATTAGGCTTCCGTTGCCATAGTAACAGCCAAAAATTGTTATTTTTTTTGGATATTTTTTATCACCGAGAAATTTGACTCTTCTGTGATTAACAGCCAAAAAAATGTTTGTATACCTTCTCACCCTACAATTCTAGGATTAAGTAGCTCATTCTACTCAGCTTGAGTGTGCATAAATTTACTGGTTGTTTTATGTCTATTTTCATTACCGAGAAACTTGACCTCAAAGTTGGGGTAACTTTTCACCAGCGGCTTTTAACTGCTCTGTATTTTTTTTTGGCTTGGCTAATTTTGTTCATACTTGACAGGCAGGTTGGACCGTCACTAATTGAAAGAACATTCTCGCTCACTGCTGCCATGGCAACAGCCAGAAACTGATTTTTGTATACTTTCGCCCCAAATTTATTACCTCCTACCAGTCTTGTAATTGCAGTGTATATGATCATGTTTTTTCATTTTTATTTTGGCACACTGGTAAGAGATCACCAGCGCCAACATTGTTACACTGTATCAACTTAGTCCCAACGCAACTATGAACTATGAATGAACAGTAAATGCTGCCTTCAATCAAGAAAATACTATTGCAAAACGGTTGGAAATAATAAATTTAACAGCAGAATACAATGACAAGTTACTTCTAAAGACTGAACGTTTTTTTTTTTTGCGAACTTCGTATACGGGGCCCGGTTTTAGTTATAAACTGACGTTAGCTTCACGTTCATGTCCTACCATGGCAACAGCCGAAAATATGATGTTGCTTGTTTTTGACCGGAGCGGAGCGGATTGCCAACCAGCCTACCGGCTTGTTTTATAATTCCCACCACCAATTAGACCATGTCACAGCATTTCGGCTACTTTTCCAACAAATCCTAAATCACTCGATAATTTTGTGTACTTTACATTTGTACTATGATTACATTTTAAGTTAC